CGATAAAGAAAAGAACTCAAAATGAGAAGAAGGATAAAATTATGAACAAAATGAATGAATGCGAAAAAGATTGCGAGTAAATCCCAAATCTCAAGAGACTCTGAGAGAGTTAAAGTTATATCAAGTACAATATATGAAAATAATGAATCAGGAAATAGAATGGAAAATTAAACAAATGAGACAAAAGACTTTTGAATCGGCTAATAAATGTGGTAAACTGTTGGCATGGCAAATGAAAAAGAGACAAAAATTAAATACGATTACGAATTTAGAAGTGGATGGAAGGAATATACAGAACCCTGCAGAGATTAGAAGTTGTTTCCAGAAGTATTTTAAAAGACTATACACTCAAGGGCCCGTGAAAGAAACAGACTTAGATCAATTTTTGAAAACAAATGGATTACAAAAATATCTCAAGAAAAGAGACTAATTTTGAATGACAGAATAACGGAACAGGAAATAGAAGGTGCCATTCAAAATATGCAACTGGGTAAATCTCCAGGCCCAGACGGCTTGACCTCTAGATACTACAGATCCTTAAAAGATTGGTTAATTCAACCATTGAAAGAGGTCTGCAACGAAATAATGGAGGGAGGAGGGCACCAGAGTCGTGGAAAGAAGCATATATTACACTTGTACCAAAAACAGAGGCTGAAAAGACACAACTAAAGAACTACCGCCCAATATCATTACTTAATGTGGATTACAAAATTTTTGCAGATATTTTGGCGAAGAGATTTAAAAAGGGCTGGTGGAAGAGATTCATAAAGACCAAGCGGGCTTTCTCCCAAGAAGACACTTGTCTGATAATCTGAGGAATATAATTGATATTTTGGAAAAATTAGAAGTGAATATAAACACTAAAGCAGTGTTGATATTCGTAGATGCGGAGAAAGCCTTTGACAATATTTCTTGGAATTTTATGAAGAAGAATCTTCAGGGTATGGGGGTAGGCCAAGGTTTTGAGAATGGTATAAGTGCAATTTATTCAGAACAAAAGGCTAAATTAATTGTAAATAACGTTGTGACGGAAGAACTTAAAATTGAAAAAGGGACACGACAAGGTTGCCCAATTTCCCCTCTTCTCTTTATTTCGGTCCTGGAGGTGTTGCTGAACATGATTAGAAGGGACCAGTTGGTTAAAGGTATACAGGTCGGAACTAAACACTATAAATTGAGAGCATTTGCAGATGACTTAGTACTGACGTTACAGGAGCCAGAATCTAGTACAAAAAGGGTTTTAGAACTGATTCAAGAATTTGGTCAAGTGGCAGGATTTAAATTGAACAAATCAAAAACCAAGGTTTTAGAGAAAAATTTAACATCGTTTGAAAGAGAGAGGTTTCAGAATGAGACAGGGTTAACAGTGGTTAAGAAAGTTAAATACTTGGGGATTAACATGACAGCAAAAAATGGAAATTTATTTAAAGATAACTATGAAAAATGTTGGTCAGAAGTGAAAAAGATTTAGAAATTTGGTCAAACTTGAAGCTTTCACTGCTAGGCCGTATTGCTGCGATAAAAATGAATGTATTGCCTAGAATGTTGTTTTTGTTTCAAACTTTGCAGATTGTGGACAAAATGGACTGTTTCAAGAGGTGGCAGAAAGATATTTCTAAATTTGTCTGGCAGGGCAAGAAACCTAGAATAAAATTTAAAATTTTAACAGATGCAAAGGAAAGAGGTGGATTTGCCCTGCCAGACCTCAAACTTTATTATGAATCAGCAGCTTTTTGCTGGTTGAAAGAATGGCTACTTCTTGAAAACACTGACATTTTGGATTTGGAAGGTTTTAATAATGTATTTGGATGGCATGCATATTTATGGTATGATAAGGTCAAAGCACACAAAGCATTTAAAAACCACATTGTCAGGAAAGCGCTATTTAATGTTTGGATAAGATATAAGGATTTGCTAGAAAATAAAACCCCAAGGTGGCTGTCACCAATGGAAGCGAAAGCCTTGAAAAGGGTCAATATGGAGGTCAAATGGCCGAAATATTGGGAAATTTTGGAACAAGACGGAGATAGACTGAAATTGCAGAGTTTTGAAAAACTAAAAAACAAAGTGCGAGACTGGCTTCATTATTATCAAATAATGGAGGCATTTAAATTAGACAGGAAAATTGGCTTCCAGGTGGAAAAATCAAAATTAGAAACAGAATTGTTAGAACCCAATACTAAGAATCTGTCAAGAATGTATAACTTGCTGCTGAAATGGAATACTCAAGATGAAACGGTAAAATCGGCTATGATTAAATGGGCACAGGACGTAGGACATAACATTATGTTTGCTGACTGGGAACAGTTATGGACCACTGGTATGAAATTTACGGCATGTAATGCCTTAAGAGAGAATATTATGAAAATGATATACAGGTGGTACATAACCCCAGTCAAGCTTGCGAAAATCTATCACTTGCCCGATAACAAATGTTGGAAATGTAAAGAAACTGAAGGTACATTTTTTCACCTTTGGTGGACGTGCCCAAAGATTAAGGCTTTCTGGGAAATGATATATAATGAATGAAAAAGGTATTTAAGTATACCTTCCCCAAGAAACCAGAGGCCTTTCTCCTGGGCATAGTGGGCCAAATGGTGTTAAAAAGGATAGAACTTTCTTTATGTATGCAACAACAGCAGCAAGAATACTCATCGCAAAGTATTGGAAGACACAAGAACTTCCCACGCTGGAGGAATGGCAGATGAAACTTATGGACTATATGGAATTGGCGGAAATGACTGGCAGAATCCGTGACCAGGGAGAAGAGTCGATGGAGGAAGATTGGAAGAAATTCAAAGACTATCTTCAGAAACATTGCAAAATTAAGGAATGTTAGAGTGATGTTGGATTGAAAATAAATGGTTTCCAGCTATACAGGTTAAAGTTAAGGATAGATTAAGATCAAGATTAAGGATGTTTAAAGAAATGGAAATTTGATAATAAAAGGGAAAAATTTAAAGGTATATGACATTAAGAACAAGGATTATGTTTAAAAAAAGTTGAAGTTATATATTTTAATATTTTATTAAATTAAAGATTGGGTTTAAAAAAGTGGAAAAGAAACTGCTGGACAAATAATGTAGATTGGAATACAAAAGAGGGAGGTATGAGGAAGTCTAGAAAATAAGTAATATAAAATTGGGAGCGGAAAAGAGAGTTTGTTTTTAATTGTTATGTTTTGTCTTTTTATTGTTAAATTTTGTATTGTTTTTTTTCTTTGTCTGTGTTGTTTTTCTTTTTCTTTGTTTAAAATCTTAATAAAAATT